GCTCGATTTTCAAATTTAATATGGAAAAGTAATTGAAATATAGAAGTCTCTATATAAATGTAAATCAATTGACAACCCATAAATAAATAAATAACAAAGTTTGTTAATCAACTAACTGAATTGGGTAGAAAAAATGTGCACAACCATACATAATTAGACATAATGCTCCTAGGGTTAAAAAAAAAAAAAGGAATTAAGTAGAATTTAAAAGGGAAAATTTTCTCCAAAAAAAGATTTTGCTTTTGTTAGTGTAATACATATTTGTACTCAAATATGTGTATTGGAAATTGTAAAAGTTAAAAAAAAAAAATTCCATTCAATTAGTTGGAAAGGCTACGTAACTAGGGCATATTCTTGTGCATCTAAGGTGACTGTACCACTCATCAAGGACATATTCTTAGATGTACCCTTTTGCATTTAAGGTGGCTGCACTAGTCATCAAATACCCCATTTTATATACCAAACACACATATATACTATTGTAGGGAATAATTTCAAGCTTTAATCCCACTAGCTTGAACCCCACTGTGATCATACACTAAAGTACGGTGGCGTCCAAAAGGGAAGAAGATAGAGAAAAAGAGTCGCCAACAAGTTTTTTTAGGAACTTGTAAACCTTTCACGAGGTGAAGGTTACACCCCTTAACGATCCAAGAGATCGTCAACTCCATAAGGTCTAGAACCAAATAAGGGTTCGGGGATGAAGGTACAAATCCAACCTAAAAGAGATTGAACCTGCCCTAATAATAGACCTCTACTTTATTCTGATCGTATTCATGTGCGCTTTCTGACTAACATGCAATCAATAGGGATTAACCCTAAACCTGTTTAATCTATGTTGGTTGAACTTAAATGCACAAATAAATCTATTATTGGTGATCACTTGAACTTATAATCACGTTAACCCTAAACAAAATTATTAATTATCTTATTAAGCGTGATTACAAGTACCAAATCCCTTTAAACATGCATAAAAGGTGTGATCAAGCAATAAATATCAAGCAACATAATAAATAATCAATATCATCATATTAATAATAATCATAATAAATAATAATCATCAAAATAATAATAATAATCATCATAAATTATAACAATTATAATCATAATCATGTTCATGTTAATATCAAAGCATAATAATAATAGCAAGATCCTAGGCATGATACTAACAAGATTTATAACAAACCCTAGCATGTCACTAAGCAATAAAAATCAAATCTTTAACCGTAACATGATACTAACAATCATAAATATTAGAAAGAACGTAGGAAGCATCATAGCAATCATATTAAGCATATTTGATATTATAACCTTTTACCTAAGCATGATACTAGGAATATCATAATAACAATATAAACATGATATTTACATCATAATATCAATAAAAACCATTAAATTACTTACTTTGATGCCTCGTACCTCTTTCTAATAACAAAATACACACGTTAGTAACTTCAAGGAAAATAATAAACAAAACAATTAAATTAAATAATTGAAAGAGAGTTTTGGGACCAAACCCTCAGAAATTAAAACCTTTCACGTCTAGGGCGAAGGCAACTTCGAATATGGGTAGGTGTATCTAAGTCTTGCGAATGCTGAATTTTGTATGAAAAAACAAAGTTAGAATTAAGGAAAGAGAGAGAGATGAGAGAATTAGAAAATTGATTGTAGATGAATGATCATGAGAATTGGTGAATGAAAACGGAGTTTTTAATATGTTATTTATAGAGAAAATCAGCCAAAAAGATAAAATAAACAAAACAGAGTCTGACGCAAAGAAAACAGAGCTGGCGCCACCCTTGGCTAACTGGCACCAGACACCAACACTAGCGCCAGGCGCCAATGGCTAGCGTCAGGCGCCAAGGCCTGGGGTTAGGCGCCAAGCTTATTTCCAACGCGTTTTCAAAAATCAGATAAGTTTACCGTACTGGAGGATAAAATCATATAATTTCCTCGAAAATGCTATTTGATTTTGTTTAAAACTCTAAAAAGTCAACAAAAGTCAATTTATCAATGCTAATTGAATTAGGAATGAAAAGAACCTTCTAGAAGATTCTAGAAGACTAAAACCATTCCTAATCGCATTAGGAATGATAAATCATATTAGGCCCTCCCCTAGATCATTGGGCCGTATATAAAGCTCAAACCGGGCCCAGTTTGGTAAATTGGTCATAACTTCCTCAATATTCATCGGAATTGGGCTTATAATATATCATTGGAAAGGTCTTTGCAAGCCCCATCCAACTACACTACTATTGGACCCATATCATGGACCAACCAAACTGGATTGATTGTTTTCTTAAAATAAGTTTTCAAAAACAGAGAGAAGAGAAAAGAATTAAAACTATCCGCAACACTACACTTTCCACACTTTCACTTCATTCGATTATGATTCGTCGTGAAAGGTACTCATCACTGGGTTTGGTTTTGGGGAGACACAAATGGGTGTCTACAACTATGTACTACTGGAGTATTGGTATATATTAATTCATCTCTTTCCTTCAATCTTCTTCCTATTTTATTTCTTTTCTTATTTCTTAATTTTCACATACATTTTTCTCTTTTTTCCAAATTCTTTACTTAATTCTTTTTTTTTTTTTTGAAATTTTCTCTCTCCACTGCGTTTGATATTATCTTCTTCTATTAAAATTTTCTCTCCTCCATTTTTTATATTTTCGTTGATCCGTGATGGATTTAATTGAATCTTGAAGAGATTGTAAGTATAAGTTAGTGTATGTTATTGATTTGTAATTTGGTTTAATTGGTTATATTTTCTAAATTTGTGATTGATATACAATTTTTGGGTAATTGCATTTTATAATAGGTGATGAACACAAGTTGATTGTACTACTTTTTTCTTCACTTTTCTTTCCTACTCCCTCCGTGTTTTTTTAAGTGATACATATTGACCGGCACATAGTTTTAGGCAATTTAATTGACTTAAATAAAATAAGAGGTAAGTGGAGTATTAAAAAATTGTTAAAGAAAGATAGTGGGGTTAATAGTTTATTGAAAAGTAATGAATGTGAGAGGAAAGATATAATAAAAAAGTAGTAGTGGGTTTGGGTGGGGGCCATGAGAGGAGAGAGATATAATATTTTAATGTATTGTTTTGCCAAAAAAGGAAATGTATCACTTAAAAAAAACACGGTCGGAAATGGAAAATGTATCACTTAAAAAAACACGGAGGGAGTATCATAGTTTAATCAAAATTTTCATCAAAATTTCGATCATAATTTTCATCAAAATTTTATTCACCTCGGTTTTTCCTCTTCCGTTCGTCATTTTCTCTCTCCTTAGTTTTCTTTATTTTTATCTTTTGTTTCACTTTTTCAATTGATTTTGTTGCTTACTATGGAATCAGTGGTTTGTTTTGTTAATTAGGTTTTTTTAAGTTATATTCAATTATAATTGTATCTAATTTAATTTCTTTCAATTTGATCTATGTATGAATTTCGATTTTTTTTATGTGATTTTTTAATAAATTTTGATCAATTTGATTAGGTTTGTGAACATGTATTCATATGAATTGAATTTACGGCCTATAATTATGAACATAAGAAAATTGAAGAAATAAAAAATAAATTAATTATGAAACATACGCATTATAAGTATTAAAAATATGAACATATGCATTTTTGAAAATGAACATACGCATTTCAAATATGAACATATGTATTGCTTCATTTTTGAATGCGTATGAACATAATTAAGCATTTAGAAGGTGTCCCTTAAAAAAAAAAAAGCATTTCAGAAGGTGAACATATACATAAAGATATGAATATATGGATTTAGAAAGTGAATATATGCATTTCAGAAAGTTTACAAAAGGATTCAAAATATGAACATAGCATTTAAGAAATTGAACATATGCATAAAAAATATGAACATTTGCATTTCAGAAAGTAAACATAAGTATTCAAAATATGAACATAAGAATTCAAAATATGAACATATGCATTTTAGAATGTGAAAATAAGGTATACGTTTGATTTCACTAATTTTTTGACAATTCCAATAAAAAATTTTGAACAACAAAGTATCGAACAATGTTCAAACAAAATTAAGTGATAATCATATAAATTCAAACAAAATTAAGTGAAATTTACATAAAATTGCCTTTTTTTGGGGGGAGAATTCGTTTGATTTTTCATCTCATCTCAAATATTCATGATTGTTTTTACAGAGAGAGTGAATTGTGTTTGATTGTTAGAGAAAGAAAATCAAGAGAGGAGTAATAAATTTCAAAAATTTAACTTTAAGAGTAACTTTTTAAAAAAAAAATTATTTTTAAAAAATAATACCCGTTGAAAGTAATGGTAGAGTGGGCTGTATTTTAAAATATGTTTAGTTTTTGGGTGGGCTCATTTTGGTTTGAGGTTTTTTTAATGGGGCACGTTTGAAATTAGGCTTGTGGGCTGGTGTTGCATCTAAAATAGGTGCACAACAGCACAAGGGTGCAGCTTAGACCTATTGCGTAACTAGGGGTGAAAGTTTGGTTTGTGGTGTGGGTTATAGCCCAAACCGAAACCAAACCATATTGATTTGGTTTGAGATTTTTCAAACCGTGTCACACCATATTATTATTTGGTCAAACCAAACCACACTGTTTTCACAATTTTGGGGGCCTAGTGTTTTGAGCTTTGATTTGTAACTTTTTTTGGGCTTGACTCAACATAATCTATTTTTGACCTTATATAGTAAGACTTAAATTAGATTTGAGCTATAATTTAGATATGTGCCTATATTTCGGTTTGGATTTTGTTTTTTTTTAACCAAATCGCAATATTAATTCGATTTGATTTATGATTCGGTTCGATTTTAAACCGTATTAGTTTCACCTACAAACATAACAAACAAAAAGAAAAGGAGGGTGTATCTTTTAGTGGGTTAAGCTAGTCCAAATAAACACATCAATAAAATCTATAGCTAACAATTTATAACGACTTTTTTTTTATTATTATTTTTTATTTGGAACAAACCAACAAATATTTTAACACTCATGCTTTAATTTCAATACCTTCATAGTTAATTGCCGCCCCTACAAGTCTACAACAACATTTTGCTAATAGGGCCTTAATGTCCATCTCAATGTGTTTTGTGCGTTGATGTTGCACCGGATTTCCAGAGAGGTAGATGGCACTCACATTGTCACAATAAACAATAGTTGCTTTACGAATAGGCAAGAAAAGCTCAAGCAACAAATTTCTGATCCAACATGAATCAGACACTACATTAGCAACCCCACGATACTCGGCCTCTGCACTGGATTTAGACAAAGTGGGTTGCCGTTTAGAAGACCAGGAAATCAAATTATCCCCTAAAAATACACAATAACCTGAAGTAGATCGCCTGGTGTCGGGGCATCCCCCCCCCCAATCGACATCGGTATAAGAAACAAGTCTGTCAATAGAGGACTTATACAGATGCAAACCAAAAGACAATGTACCCTGTAAGTAGCGCAAAATACGCTTCAAGGCACCCATATGCGCATTGCGCGGATCATGCATGTGAAGGCAAACCTGTTGAATAGCATATGAAATATCGGGTCTAGTAAAAGTTAGATACTGAAGAGCACCTGCAAGACTCCTGTACTTAGTGGGATCCTCATAAGGCTCATCATGAGTAGCACTAAGTTTTGATTTTGTGTCAACAGGTGTTGGACAAGGGCTACATTTAGACATGCCGACCTTGTCAATAATAGAAGAAGCATACAGTTTCTGAGACAAGAACATACCGTTATCATCACGAGTTACAACAAGTCCTTCATTGCAAATTTGGAACTCAAACGATCCATAATATGTGTCCTTAGGCGGTCAGAAGATGCTGTAAGAATGATATCATCAACATATAACAGAATATAAGCAGTATCAGATCCCTGCCTATAAATAAACAGAGAATTATCAGATTTACTGTTAGCAAATCCAATAGAGGTGACAAAATCTGCAAACCGCTGATACCAGGCTCGAGGAGCCTGCTTTAGACCATATAACGATCCTCGCAATAGACAGACATGATCAGGGCGACTTTTGTCGCGAAAACCCATAGGCTGATGCATATAAACTGTTTCATTGAGATAACCATGCAGAAAAGCATTCTTGACATCCAACTGATGGATCGGCCAAGAGTGAGAAATAGCAATGCTAAGAACAGTACGAATAGTAGCCGGTTTGACAACCGGACTAAAAGTCTCATCACAATCAATACCCTGCTGCTGAGTCTGACCATCTTCTACAAGACGAGCCTTATACCGCTCAAAAGAACCATCAGAATTTCGTTTATGACGAAATATCCACATAGAGCGAACAACGTTCACATTAGGAGGCCTAGGAACCAAATCCCATGTATGATTATCAATAAGAGCATTATATTCATCTAACATTGCATTTTTCAAATTAGGGTCACGAATAGCACTAACCGGGTCCTTTGGTATAGGAGAGATAGAGGTAGTAGTCATCGTGTTTAGGTTGGAAAAATATTTGGGGTTAGGCTTTATAATACCATCTTTGTCACGGGTGGTCATTTGGTGGGTGGCCGGCTGATCAATGTGGTGGTGATGGAGTATCGGAGTGGGCTGGTCAGGAGGTGGTGATGTGGACTGGGCTGAGGTGGCAGTGCTGCCGTGGTCAGAGGGGGGTGTTTGGGCAGGTAGGGGTGTGTGATGAGTATCAGGCTGCTGGGGGCGCAATGGTTGAGCCGTGACAGCACCTTGAGGAGAAAAGGTGTGAGGGCTGGAAGGAGAGAGCCCAGACGGAGAGGAGGGGATGGTTGGGCCGATTGGAGGTGGCCCAGAAGATGAGGGAGTGGGCTGGAGTTGAGGCTGTTGTGTATGAAAATGGGGTAAGTGATCTATTGGATTTTGGTCCAAAAAATCGTACTCACTGATTTGAGGTTTGTGAACCTTAGAAAATGGAAATTCATTTTCCACGAATCTAACATGCCTACAGATAATGATTTTCCCATTAGTTAAATCATAGAAATTTGAGCCTCGGTGACTTGGAGCGGGGCCTAGATAGACACAAGGAGTAGATCTTTCTTGCAGCTTATTAATAGAAGTGGCGGGAAAAAGAGGGAAACAAAGACAACCAAAGACGCGTAATTCCGAGTAAATCAGATCGCGTTGATACAACACTTGTGTTGGAGATTTAAAACCTAAGACCTTGATTGGAAGAATATTAAGAAGATAGGTGGCCATTTCTAAAGCATGATGCCAAAAAGAGAGAGGCAAGGAAGCATGAGCAAGAAGAGTTCGAATTCTGTTGTTTATCGATTTTATGTGTCTTTCAGCTTTTCCATTTTGAGGTGAGGTGTGAGGACAAGAAAGACGATATAGCATGCCATGGTTGTTAAAGAATTCTTTAAGAGTACCATTAACATATTCAGTGCCATTATCACATTGAAAAGTCTTAATGTTACGTTCAAATTGAGTTTGGACTATCTTATGAAAAGATTGAAAAATGTGTTTGACCTGTGATTTTTTTGCAATAGGATAAGTCCATAAAAATTTGTTGTAGTCATCAAGCAACAATAGATAATAACAATGACCGGAAGAGCTAGTAATAGGAGATGTCCATAAGTCACTATGAAGAATATCAAAAGGAAAAAATTGTTTTTGACATAGAATCAATAAAAGGCAACTTTGAAAGTTTCCCGAGAGGACAAGATGAACAAAAAGAACTACAAGCCTTATTACAATCAATAAAATTTTGACTACTTAAAGATCTAAGGATGGCATCTCCAGGATGTCCTAAGCGCCTATGCCAAAGATCGGATGAAATAGCAGTGAAATTGGAGTGATTGACAGAAGAGTTGTCTTGATTGTTTGAAAAAATGGGATAGAGATCACCGGTACTGTCACGTCTCATTAGTGTGGCCCCCGTCTGTAAGTCATGCACAGAAAACCCATGAGGATCAAAGGCAATGGAAACCATATTATCAGTGGTAAATTTACGGATTGAGATCAAGTTCTTTATCAACTTAGGAGCATGCAAAACATTTTTTAAGGTAAAGGGAGGGTATGGGTGAGGCAAAGTAGTACTACCATGACCAATAATCGGAATTAAATCACCACTACCAACAACAATGTTATCATTTTTAATGCTCGAATTGACATAAGAGGAGAGAATACCTTGATCCGCGGTCATATGAGCAGTGGCACCGGTGTCCATATAGTAATTGCTATCCGATTTTCCCAAATTTGCAAGCATGTGCATAGCCGCTTCAATGTCAGTTGGGGACGGATTTATTGCACTGTAGGCCTGTGGATGCTGGCCCAAAATTCCAGGCCCACCTGACTTGGGGTTGGAAGAAGGAGCCGGTGGTCTAGAGGCCCAAGATGAAGCAGGGTATGGGCATGGTGGTCTGGGCCACTGACCGGTCCATGGGGTCCATGAAGGAGGCCATTGCTTCGCATTTGCCGAACCAGAATTATGGGCTGGACCGCCAGAATTACGAGCCTTATTATTTGAATTTTTCGAAATTCTTGGTTTATGCTTGCTGTTTTTGGAGGAGGGTCGGGAAGCAGAGGACTCTGTTTGGTGGCTGCTGCCGGTGGTGGAGAGGAGGGCCGTCGTTGGGCGGCTGGTGGCATCGGATTCCTTGGCAAGGCGGTTCTTAATGGTTCTGTCGGCGAGCTTGAGACGGGAACGACAACTTTCAAAAGTGGGAAGAGGTTCTTGATTTTGAATAAAATCAACCGTGCCGGCATAAGCTTCAGGGAGGCCGGCTGTCATTTTGAGGATGAGACGAGTATCGGGAATCGGGGCATCGACATCCGCAAGACGATCGGCAAGGGATTTGATGTGATTACAATAGCCGTCAATAGAGGTAAAGGTCTCGAAGTCAAGGTCAGCGAGTTCTTGTTCGAGATGGGAAGCCCGGGATGCTTTGTTGTCTTGAAACATGGACTCGAGACGAGTCCAAGCACCTTAAGCGGTGTCATCTTTAAGAAGAATGGCAGTGAGAAGAGCAGGGGAGATGGAATTGGAGATCCAATTGAGGACCGCGGCATCCAAGCGTTTCCAGAACGCAAGGTCAGTAGCCTTGGAGGCCTCATATGCTGCTCGTTCTTTCTCCTCCGTAGGAGGAATAATATGACTGTAAAGATCATGAACCCTAACAAGCACCTTGAAAAGGGCTGCCCAAGAGTAATACATCCAAAGTGATGGGAATGAGGGACTTGACGTTGTTAACGTTCAAGGCTGGGTGATACTTTGATTCTGCCATGGGTATATGCAGCGGAAGAAAGAAGATCAAGGAAGGGGAAAGAGGCAGGAAGCTGGGCGAATTTTGTTAGGGAAGAGGATGAAGGATCGAAACCCTATCTGATACCATGAAAGATTATGATCGTTGATCTTTCTCATTAACCGTGTGAAGAATATATACAAGTTACAATAGCAAACTTAGGCTATAATTATGGTAACAAACTAGGAAAGGATATACTCTAAATATACACTTAACTAACTAAGATATATCCTAACAATTTTAATCCCATATTAATGCAACACAATTAAACTATTTTTTGGTCGACTTCTCATCAATATTACATAATTACAAAAAACTTGCGATACATTTCTTGATGATTACGAGGTATTAATATATTTTCCATTGCTTTATAAAAACTCCAAGACATTATTTAATTGTAAGTGATACACAATGATGTATAGTATAATGATAGTTAAAGCATTCCACCGCTTCTAAATGATTTATACATTACTAATTATTATGTTATGTCACTATGTGTAATTTATAATAATACAATTTTCAATATACTTCTTCCGTTTTTTTTAATTGCTACAGTTTTCCATTTTAGAAATTTATAATTAGTTACAATATTTTTTATTTTTTTATATTTTGTTTTCTCTATCTCTCTCCTACTCACATGGATCCATCTTTTTTTTTTCTATCTCATCTTTAAAAAGTGTCTTAAAAACTGTAAAAATAAAAGTATAACAACTAAAAAATTGGAGAAAGTATTTTTGGTTAATGTATTTCTACAACCAAAAAATTAAAAAGGAAAGAAGAAGGAAAGAAAGAAAGAAAGAAAGAAAGAAGATGGTATGCCCAATTCTCAATCTAATGTCGGCTCAATGTATGACCAACTTATTTTTGCAAAATGACAAATTCTTATTGATATTTATTTTATTTTAAGTTAGGTGGGCTAAAGTTATAATTGAGCACTAGGTTAATCCCGTGCGATGCACGATTTTATAATAAGAATTGAACACATATTGAAATAAAATAACTATTTCCTCCGTTTTCCTAATTAATTTTTGATTAAATATGAATATACAATTCCCAAAAGTGCATAATTTTCATATTTAATTAGGAAATTTCAATTAAATTATATTATTAACTATTGTTAACAAATCATAAATAACTAAATAACATAATATCTATAGAAAACCAAAAATTCTAAAATTCAAATGGAATTTAATTTTCAAAGCAATGTTAAATAGGGTAGCTTGTAAAGGAAAAATATGACATCATCCATGTATTTTGGAGGGAAAAAAATAAAATAAGAAAGTGACACGTAGGCAATGATGACATCAGCGGTTGTTACTTTAGTATATATATATAGATAGATAGATAGATTTGAGCATAAATTAGATATTTGATCTAAAATCATTTTGAATAGGATATTACATATTTGGAATTTGCAATAAGTATGATATTTGTATCCGATAAATTTGAAATCCGAATTATTATATGATTATTATGTTTCTTAAAGTATTGTCATCAATAATGAAAAATTTTAATATAGGTTTTTTTTTTTAAAAAAAAAAAATTATAGATAAATAATATAGAGTACTCGTTTGTTTTATTTATTTGATTTTTACTTATATATATATATATATATATATATATATATATATATATATATATATATATATATATATATATATATATATATATTTTGGTGTTTAGAGAACCACAAGGGCGGGGGTGAGAATCGATCCCAGACTCTAACCACTTGAGCTATCCCTTACTCTCAAAATTTATATATTTTAGTTGTAAATTAAATATGATAGCTCTTATCAAAACTTATTTGAATTTATTTTTTCTAAACCTATCTTGTCTAAATTTGGAATTGAGTTTGATAAAATAAGACCTTAACATAAGTTTGTGAATAAAAAGGCAAACCATATCATCTCAATTAATTAATAAATGATCATTTGGTAAAGAAAATAATGTACACAACCAATCCTAGTGGTAAAATAAATGAAAAGTTTCGTTCATTACACTAATATATATATATATTTATGTCATAGATTATTAATTTAATACCAAATATAGAAATGTATTACGGAGTAATGTTTATCTGTAACTCATTAGGGCTACAAATATCCTTAGTTCATTACCTTTTCTTTAATTTTTTAAAAGAAAATTTAGATTCGAACTCGTGACCTTTGTGTTACGCTAGCTCTTATACCATGTTAACGGACCATCTTAACCAAAAGCTTATATTGATGGTTGAGATCGTACCCAAGAATATGTTTTATACTCTATCAAGACTGAAATCCTTTAATTAGGTTTAAAAAAATAAAAAACCAGGAATAGGCAAAATTCTAGACATATGGATCGAATATTTGTTACCCAAACCATATCCAATTGTAATCAGTATCAGATCAAATCCAATGTGAATCAAATTTTTTAACATTTTGATCTTCAAAAAGACAAAAGGTTTTGCATGGCCTTAAGCTAAATTGTGTCAATTTTGCTTTGAAATACATCAACATTAATTTTGTATATTTATTAAATGATTAAGCTCATACTACTCAAATAAGCAAATCAAAAGGTTAAAGACTAACTAACTCACTCATGGTTGAATCAAATCGTGTTATCGTATATATCAATGCAAATACATTGCCAACATCAATCTTAAGTATTTTAAGCATTGATGTCAATTGTCATGAAGATTCTAAAAGAGCATTCGAGCTAAAAATCCTAATACAAAACTTGATTTTTTTTTTTTTTTTTTTGAGGAACCAAAACTTGATTATATGATATTAGTATCCGATCTGAAATTGATATTCGAATATCTAAGGGCCTGTTTTCATTAACTGAACTGAGCTGAACTGAACTGAACTGAACTGAGGTGAGCTGAACTGAGCTGAGCTGAACTGAGCTGAACTGAACTGAACTGAACTAAATTAAACTAAACTAAACTGAACTGAACTGAATATTTTATAAGAGAAGGAAATTAGGAGCTGAGTTGAACTGAACTGAACTGAATTGAACTGAACTGAATTGAGCTGAACTGAACTGAACTGAACTGAATTTCAACGTAAGAGAACATGCCCTAAGTTATTATACAAGTATTGGACTATTACTTCCCTTAAAAAAATGTCAACAACAGTATCTGATAGTCCAAATGATTAAATGTAATTTAGTTTTTTATTTTTATTTTTTTTCAACAACCAAATCATACCATACCATATATGTATATTAAGAGTCTGTTCTTTTCAGCTTAATTTTAGTTTTGTTTAGTTTAGCTCCTAATTCCTTTCTCTCATAATTAATTCATTTCAGCTCTATTCAGTTGAATTGAGTTCAGCTCCAATCAATTCAGTTTAGTAAATCAGAACAGACCCTAAGACTAAAATCTTTTAACTTTGAATTTTCGTACATCTGTAAAATAAAAAAAAAAAGAAGGTATAATACACACAATTTTGGATGTTTAAACTGGATGTTTGCCACTTAAAATCGACTTGAGAAATGAATATAAGATTGGGAATCGATATCTTACATTATTAAATTAGATACATATTAGAGTTTTGAATTTGTATATACTACTTCTGTTACATATTATGTGTCAAATAATATCTAAAAATTGCACATAATCTAATATATATAAATAAAGAGGCATTTTTGGAGAGCATTGGGAGCGCCACATAAGCGAAGGTATATTTTCGACCAATTAAAAATTAGATTTCTATTTTATTTTAGAATTAAAAAAATTACTCGCCACCTAAACAAAAGTGACGAATGAAATTTTAAAATTTTGCCACGTAGGTAAAAACGACGAATAGTAATTTATTAGGATTTTAATTATTTAAGAACACTAAATTTATCATTTTTATTTGTTACAAAACTAAAAATTATCTTTAGATATTAGGATTTATATTATTTAAAAAACTAAAATTATATTTTGATATTTAAAAAATATAAATTATCATTTGATGTTAATGATTTTATGTAAATATCTGATAATATGATACTTTCATACAAAATTTTAAAACTTATAATGCAAGAAAAAAATTAAGAGATCACCAAAAAATATTGCATCACACGCCACATAAGCAAAAGTAATATTTCGACCAATGAAAAATTAGATTTATATATTAATTTAGAATTTTAATTTTCAGTCGCCATTTAAGAAAAAATAAACAGATGAAATTTGAGAATTGTAAACAAAAAATAGTAGTTTAAGATTTAAATTATGAAAAAAAACAAAAATTATCTTTTATATTATCTTTTACATTAGGATTTATATTGTTTTAACAAATAATTAGAAATTAAAAAATATATTTTGATTTAATGATTTTATCTAACTATCCGATGAATGAGATAATATTTATTTCAATTTATAAATTCAAGTTCTATATATGTAAAATTTGAATAAGAATAATTTAAAACTTAAAAAAATATTTTACCTTAAATTAATGTTAAAATAATAGAATAGAAAATAAAAACAAAAAATTATTAAGAAATTTAAAAAAAAATATACAAAATGAAATATTTAAAAATGTGCATCGCACGGGCTTACATTCATAGTAATGATGTAAAAATCAGCAACAAAGCTGACCAAATAGCAACATTCATAATAAATTTTTTAATTTTAAAACCACAAAAAAGATGGAAAATATTATTAGCACCAAAAAAAGTTCAAATAGATTTATTTTACTAAAAAAATGATTTCACCACCCTTTAACAGTATTTTTTCAACCAATTAAAAATTAGATTTCTATTTTATTTTAGAATTAAAAAAATCACTCGCCACCTAAACAAAAGTGACGAATGAAATTTTAAATAAAAACGACGAATAGTAATTTATTAGGATTTTATTTATTTAAGAACACTGAATATTATCATTTTTATTTTTTCCAAAACTAAAAATTATCTTTAGATATTAGGATTTATATTATTTAAAAAACTAAAAATTATATTTTGATATTTAAAAAATATAAATTATCGTTTGATGTTAATGGTTTTATGTAAATATATGATGATATGATACTTTCATACAAAATTTTAAACTTATAATGCAAGAAAAAAATTAAGAGATCACCAAAAAAATATTTATATACAAAATGTATATAAAAATTCGTGCATCGCACGCCATATAAGCAAAAGTAATATTTCGACCAATGAAAATTTAGATTTATATATTAATTTAGAATTTTAATTTTTAGTCACCATTTAAGAAAAAATTAACTAATGAAATTTGAGAATTGAAAACAAAAAATAGTAATTTAAGATTTAAATTATGAAAAAAAAAACAAAAATTATCTTTATAAATTTATCTATTTATTTATAAATTAATATTTATAAAGATGAATGAGGTAATATTTATTTCAATTTATAAATTCGAGCTCTATATATGTAAAATTTGAATAAGAATAATTTAAAACTTAACAAAATATTTTACCTTAAATTAATGTTAAAATAATATAATAGAAAATAAAAACAAAAAAAATTAAGAAATTACAAAAAAATATACAAAATGAAATATTTAAAAACCGTGCATCGTACGGGCTTACATCTAGTATATAATAAAGGTAGTAACTTTACTCATCCCTAAGCTAAATTGTGCTCATTTTGAGTTGAAATTTGAATATATCAACACTAAATTGACTAATTTCTTAAACAAAAAAGGTCACCTTATCTATATAGATTAGCGAATTAAAAGGTCGAACACTAACCAACTCACTGTATTGATTGATTCATATCGTGTTATCGCATCGATTCAATTCGCTACATTACCGACATCCATCTTAAATATAGTAAGCATTGATGTCATCTGTCACGGAGAATCTAAACGAGTATTCGAGCTAAAAACCACAATACAAAATTACAAAAAAATGATCATCAATCAAAGTTCAAAAGAGATAGACATTAACAACCGAATTTCCTTGACGTGTTCCTTGAGTTGGAAGAAAAGTAGTGGACGCCTCTATCTTTTTCTTTATTAAATCAATTTCAAACAGACATTTTGCCTTTTTTTAAGGTGACAATTAAAGTTGACTAATTGCTTAACCCCTTGTAATTTAAGTAGCTTAATTCACTACCCATTAATTTCATTGCATTTGTATAAAACCCCTTTTTGCTGTAACAAAAACCTAAAAACCCTTTCCTAATTCAGGTACTCTTCTTACTCTGATCATTCTATTTTTCTTAATCTTTGTGCCAAGTTTTGATTTTGTTCATACCCATTTCAATTTAACTCTAAAGTTGATATTTTTTGTATTTTTTTTCCAATAATTTCTTCCCAATTTTTAATTTTGTCTTAGCCCATGTTGATTTCAGTTTATTTATTGATTGAATTGATGTTGCATGATATATTCAATAAATATTATTTGATGGAATTAATGAAATTATTATACAGGTTGTTGATATGGTAGAATCTTTTATTTCTATTTTGATTTAGTGATTTGTATCAAGCTGAATCTTTGTCGTTGGTTTTAAGTTCTGATCATTGTCCATTATTATGAAGGTAGTTTGATGTTTGTTGGGTTTGGAATTTTGGATTGTAATGGATTAATTTGTTTTTTTTTTATTGTTTCATTGTTTGTACTATTTATTAAAAAATTAATTGCTGAGTATTAAATAATGATCGTGCTTTTAAATTAAGGGTCAATTAGAAACATCTCTATCATCAAAGGATAAGGTTGTGTACATCGATCTGCCCTTCTGACCGGGCCATTGTCAAGAACCTCTTTGGAGGCACTAGGGTAATATGAGTATTGCTGTAATATTTCGTGTGTCGGAAAAATGGAATCATAGAGTGTTATTTCCTCAAATACCATGTATAAGAAGCTAGAACATTTTGTGTTGGATACCAAAAAGAAGCTAGGAGAAGAACATTTTGGTAGTAAGCCTAGTATGTATGGTGGAGACATGAGGAGGCCGAACATGGATGGGGTTGGACCGAGAATAGCTGTGTTTCTAATGGGAAGTAAGGGAGGCTAAACCATGCTTAACAACTACTTAATACAGGAGGGGTTCTAATTGGGGTTGTAGTAGAAATATCTTGTTTTACTATTTGACATTTATTTAGAAATTAGAATATCCTTATAAAGTATGACTATTAATTCATAATGAAGGATCATATTTGCTTGATAATTGTTGTTTAAGTTCCTATAGCATTTGATACCTTTGTGGTCAATTTCATTATGAAAGACTTCTTACAAGATTAAGACAAATTGCTTATGAGATATTTTCTTGGCACTTTGTATTGATTATTTTTGTATTCACCGTTCTTGGTCAGATTTGTGACGAGGAGAGTTTTGTTCTCTTTCAGAGTTTAACTACAATCACAAAGCAGTAATAGAAGAATCAATGGCAACAGGGGGTTTATATGACGATTTGGTGCAGGAAATTCTAATGAGGTTACCAGCCAAGACTTTGCTCAGATGCAGGTGTGTCTGTAGGTCTTGGTATTCCTTAATTACAAATCCCGATTTCATTTTGGCCCATGTCTGTTACAACAAGGCTAAACGCCATCTTGTCCTTTTGCGAAGCTTTGATCATGCAGAAAAAAAGGTCAGGTATAAACTCTGTCACGATAATGAGCAATTGGATGAGATAATGACAATTGATTTTCCTTTTGTTAGTAAACATCATGATTATTTTAGGATGGTGGGTTGTGTGAATGGGTTAGTATGCTTGTCGGATGATATTGTTGAAGTAACAGATACTTTGATTTTATGGAATCCGGTGATTAGGAGATTCCTGACCCTTCCTGAACTCAAACTAGATGTTGAATCAACTGATTTGGGTCGGTCAGTTTTTGGTTTTGGGTTTGACTCTTCTAAGAATGATTACAAGGTTATCAGGATTGTTTATCTTAAGAATCCGGATTTTGAAGCCCTCCAAGTTGACGCCAAAATTGCAATTTTTAGACTTAGCTCAAGTTGTTGGGAAGTTAATGGCTCTGCTTCAGTCCCTGTGCTTGATACCCGGCAAGCTTATGTAAATGGTGTTATTCACTGGTTGGCTTATAACAAGCTAATTGTGGGGTTTGATGTGAAAGGCGAGGCATTCAAAGACATGATGCTTCCCCAAACCTTGCAGGATGCCAATATTAGTGATTTAACCATCGCCTCATGGTGTGACTTGCTTTCTGTATTTGAAAATGGGTATTGGTCAGGGAAGCTTAGTTTGTGGATTATGAAAGATTATGGTGCGCCTAAATCATGGGTAAAGCAGTTTGTGATTGAGTCATTTGTAATGGTCAGAAGTCTTAGAAGCAATGGCTGTGTTATACTGCAAAATATCGGTGGCAAACTAGTTTTATATAATGCAAAGACCAATCAGTTTGAGGAATTCAAAACCCATGTTGAGGGTTCTATTCGTGGTTTTCATATGAGATCATACCTAGAGAGTCTAGCTCTATTAGATCAGAAGGACTCACACGGCGTTCTCTAGACTGTGCTCGAATACCATTGGATGGTGCCAAAAACTGATGAAGACAAATAATGCTGGAGATGGGAACGAGTATACCCAGAACTTTTATCAGGATGATCATGAGTTGTACATTCAGCCTGCCGGTATAAATAACTTTGTTTTTTTTTCTTTGTTTCCCGTACGTGTTTGTGTGTTAATATATGAATATAGGTTTTACATAGTGATGATGCTGATGGATCTTGAATTATCTTTGTAAATTCCATGGAGTGAATGAGGTCACACTGTTGATCTTATTGATGCATCAGTTCACATTGCAGGATAAGATAGTGTTACGACTTTTAAAAGTGTGCTGTAAAATTATTTGAATCAATGTTTAAGTCACACCTTGAATTGATTTGATGAGCTTGTCTGCATATAGTCTATGATGAGTACATGAGACTGTATTATTGACTTGAAGTCCAATGTTTATCCTTTACCCACTACCGTTGATCGATTGCGAAGTTTATAATGCATTTGAGTGCAATTAGAGTTGACTAATATGTGGAATTGCAAAGTTAATTATGCATTGAGTGCACTTAAGGATAGTTGCTTGTGTGACTTGTATCCAAGATTTTTTTATACTCAATTTGAGGGCATTTCATTATAAAAAAATATAAAAAGAATTTCATGGTTTGGAACACAATGGAACATCCAAAGATATCACACCATTCGGAGCAGAGTTACTAATAGTCACAACTAAAGTTTCCCAATTATTAGGCAAAGATCTCAACTGAACAATGTTAACAATCTTCATAGTAGTCAACTTGTTAATACTACGTATATAATAGAGATTGACTTCACACCCTTTAATTTCAAATTAAGGGGCCGTTTGGTTGGGGTTTATAATCAAAGGGAATCGGAATGAACTGATATCATTCCCTTTGTTGTTTGTTTGTCACTTTTTTTTATTCCCTTTACCCATTTTTATTTTTGAGTTCACTCATTTTTAGTCTACATTGATTCCCCACCCCCCTAGACTTTCCCAATCCCTTTCCCTAGCCACCATACCCACCACCGTTGTACTTGCCGGAACTAGCCCAACCACCTCGCCACGAACCCAGTCCCCACCGCCGGACTCGCCGCACTTCCCCCACAACTCGCCGGAGCCCGCGCACCTCCCCCACCTCTCCCCTCGAAAATACCTCCCCTCCCCGGAAAAACTTCCACCACCACGCAAAAACCCTAGAAAACACCATCCCTCCCCTTATAAACACCACGGCTAGGGTTTCGAGGGTAGGGGGAAGGTCGGCTGGCGTTTTTGAGGGGAGGGATGATGTTTTCTAGGGTTTTTGCGTGGTGGTGGAAGTTTTTCCGGGGAGGTTAGGGGCTGCGAGGGGTGGGGGAGGTGCGCCCAGGGCTGCCGATTCCCGTTGACGTTGTGGTTGGGCGGTGGGGTGGCTCCTAGTGGCTGGAAAAGTGAAGAAAGGGGATGTGTGGTGGTGGTGGTGATTCCCTTTGTTTATTGAAAACCAAACAACATAGTACTTGGAAAGGGTTTCATTCCATTCTCCTACATTCCCTTTGTTCATTCCATTCCGATTCCCCCGCGCGAACCAAACGACCCCTAACTAGTTTCTTGATTAATGATGCTTTAGTATGAGAGGCCTTTCTTTCAAAAAGACCTTCAAATTTCTTCCAGAATTCATAAGGGTCGGACTCTTGTGACACGTGGTTGAATATGCTAATATGAATCATTTGTCTAATAGTATCTAAGTCTTCCTTTTCAACTTCACCTAATATTTGTCATCCATTTTTTCAGGTTTTGTTGGTTTAACAATGCTACTATTTTTCTGTGTTATTGTTTCTATTGGTTTATGTAAATCTTTGTAATATAACTGGTCTTTCATCAAAGGTCTCCAAATTGAGTAATTAGTTGATGTCAATTTAACCATCAAATTACTACTACTCGATCCCATAATGTGACAAATTGAACTATGCCTCTGATACCAAGTTGTAGAGATCGAAAAGAGGTAAGTACGCCACCCACAATGTCACACACGACTACACGAGGCAATCAACCAATAATTCAATCAAATCAACCCAAATTCTCACACAACCAAATCACTAAATAAAAGCCAGCAATAAGACAGTAGCAAAACCCAATAATAATAGGAAGAAATGATAATAAACAACACACATGAATCATATGTGGACAATGTAACGGATACACTACTCAGCAAGAACCGTGGGTGGATTACTTATGAGGAAGGAGGAGGAGAGGTCAGCAAATAGGAATGTTAGGGAATGAGACAGAAGGACAGCCACCACATCAGTGAGCAGCCCCTCTCTTCATGACAGCTGCCATAATCTTTTGTCTTCTTTCTCTTTTTAGGATGATCATGTATATATAAGAAAGGGAGGGTAGGGATGTGCAGGGAGGCAGATATTTGTAATCATTAGAGCTAGAAAGTAGTGCCCTAAAGGCACTAAATTAGAGAGTAGTGGCCTCAAGCCACCACTGTGAAAACTTCATCCATTTTCAATAATAAAAAAACTACCTACTTTCCTCAAAAATCACATCTTTATTGCTTATTCATCAATATTACAAGTTAAAACTAACCAAAGTGTTACAAGTGGTATCAGAGCGGCGGTCCTGCGCCTGCCGGTACCGGAAACCACCACCCCGTACTCTGTTTAAAAAAAAAGAAAAAAGAAAATGGTTGCCTCTGCAACAGAGAGATGCGATACACTAGAAGAACAAATGGCCGGAGTACAGAACCGACTGGAAACAATGGAAGCCACGATGAAAACTCAGGAAAAAACACTCAAGAAATCCTTGGAGGAGGCCATTCAAAGACTCGATAATCAGTTCGAGCTGCTACGACAACAGCAAGACGCTCAAACGGCAGCAAACACCACTAATCAAGCCCAGTTCTTCGAAGAATTGCAGAACTTGGTTAACCATAGGAACCACGAGCAGGGGATAGAGTTCACACGCAACTGAAACAATCAGATTGGCGGTGGTGACCACCGTTGGAAGCCGAGAAAGATAGACATGCCACTCTTTGAAGGAACGGACCCCGATGGATAGATACTCAAGGGAGAAAAGTATTTTCTCCATTACCACCTCACGGAAGAACAAAAGCTTCAAGCGGCGGTGTCAGCTCTTGAGCGCGACGTTTTGCGGTGGTTTCAATGGGAGAACAGGAGGCGGCCAATTCCTAACTGGGAAAGTATGAAAGCTCGAATATTGAGACAATTTCGACTAACCCATGCTGGAAGCCTCCATGAGTAGTGGCTGGCGGCAAGTCAGGAGACCACCGTACTCGAATATCGCAAGAAGTTTATCGAGCTATCAGCTCCGTTGGAAGATGTTCCTGAAACCATTATGATGGGCCATTTTATAAATGGGCTCAAGGATGAGATCAAGGCTGACGTCATATTTATGAACCCATTTAACCTAGAGCAGGCCATGGAGATCGCGGGTCGGGTCGAAGAGAGGAACCGGGTCGGCGGGTTAAAGAAAACACCCGGTTACTACAGATCGGGTAAATCCATTGCCAGCGGATCTGGATCTTCTAGATCCAAAGCTCCAGTCGAGTCGGGTCTCAGTAACACTTATGGCACCCCAACTCAGCAAGCCTCGACATTCAAAGGGTGGCCAAAAGCGCCCACCACCGAATTGCAGGCATCCGTCAACATTCCCAGATCTACCACCAGTTCGACGGCCAAATCCGGTGAGCCACGACGGCTGACCGACTTCGTGCATCAAGAGCGCAAAGCGAAGGGGCTCTGCTCCTGGTGCGACGAGCGATGGAGTGTTGGTCATCGCTGCAAGAACAGGGAACTGAGTGTGCTATTGTTAGGTGGAGAAGAGGATACCGGATAAAGATGGCAATGGATCGGATTTGGATCGGATGGAGCTTCACCCGCATCATCCATTATCCTAATTGCTTCATCCACATCCATCCGTCATTTGCTTCACCCATCATCCATATCCGTCCGTGCATCATCCACGGATGAAGCGGGTGGAGCGGATGACAAATGGATAAGTACTAAAATGAAAAAAAAACTCAGATAAACTTAAATTTTCGGTTATTTATATAATAATTTTTTTAATTTATTAATAAAAAAGAAACAATAACAACATATTGTTTGAAAAATTAATTTACAACAAAAAAACGACAAGTAATTTTCTTGCACATTCTATATTTTATTAGTAAAATTCTTTGATTAAAAATTTAATATATGTTAAACGGATGGGTAAATGGTTAGCGGGTGAAAAAAATATCATCCACATCCGATCCGATCCATCATCCGCTTCATCCGTCACCCGCTTCTCATCCATTTAATTCGGATTTTCGTCCATTTATTTTAAGCGGGTGGAGCGGGTTAGCGGATATCCACTTAATATTGCCATCTCTAATACCAGAGCTGGGCCGTCCAAACCGCCGCCGCTAGATTTTAGCGACGAGGAGGCAGCTGCTGAAGCCTCGTTCTGTTCAGTGGTGGGGTTGTCCAACCCATGAACCATGAAATTGGAAGGGAAGGTGGGCCCGAAACCGGTGGTGATTTTGGAGGACCCGAGGGCTACCCATAATCTCATCTCCGACGTTTTAGTGGCAGAGGTGGGTGTGCTAGTGGACGGAGATCGGGAATTTGGGGTCTCACTGGGAAATGGGGATTTGATTTGGGGTAAGGGAAGGTATAAGGGAGTGAGGGTGGTCCTTGAGGGTGGATTTGTGGTGGTGGATAATTTTCTGCCACTTAAATTGGGCAGCGCTGATCTGATTTTGGGTATAGAATGGTTGGAGAAGCTCGGGTCAGTCACGCATAATTGGAAGACTCATATAATGAGTTTTATGGTGGGAAATCAGAGGGTAACACTAGTGGGAAACCCGGCCTTGGAATGCTCTAAGGTGTCGCTTAAGGCCATGATAAGAACCTTGCGACACGAGGGTGGAGGATTGTGGGTAGAAATAAACCAAGTGGAGATGAACTCGAGTGAGGGGAAGGGTAAACTACTGGTGGCAGCACTGTCGGAGTGGTTGAAAGATGTAATGGTGGAATTTCAAGGTGTGTTTGCTGACCCTAAGGGGCTGCCACCCAAGAAGGGTCATGAACACGCGATTGTGTTGAAAGAGGGGAGTAATCCGATGAGCGTGAGACCCTACCGGTACCCCCAATTCCAGAAGGATGAGATTGAACAGATGATTAGAGAGTTGTTGGCTGCCGGAATCATCAAGCCGTCGGTGAGCCCATTTTCAAGTCCGGTTTTGTTGGTTAAGAAGAAGGACGGGTCGTGGCGTTTTTGTGTGGATTATCGTGCCTTGAACCGAGAGACAATTCTCGATAAATACCCCATTCCCATCATTGATGAGCTCTTGGATGAGCTTCACGGGGCTGCCATCTTCTCTAAGCTCGACCTCAAATCGGGCTACCA